CAACATCAATCTCAGAACATAGTGGGTACTAGGGATCAAGCCCTAACAAAACTAACTCGATTACATGATGAATCTCATCCAACTCTTCATCGACCAGCGAGCCTATGAAGGAATTACTCACTCCCTGCGGTGAGCATCATGGAATTGGTGATGGAGGATAGTTGATGATGATGAAGACCGAAGACCCCCCTCTCCGGAGCCCGAACGGGCACCAGATCTGGCCTCCCGAGAAAGAACAGGAGGTGGCAGCAGATCCGTATCGTAAAACACGATGAAACTTCCTCTCCTATTTTTTCTCCAAAAATGCGAGTTTATAGTATCTAGAATAGGGTTGGAGGGGCCTCGTGGGCCCCACTGGCCACCAGGGCGCGCCAGAGCCCCCCCCCCTCTAGTGGGTCTTGGTTCCAGTATTTTTTATATATTGTAAAATAATTCTCAAAAAAGTTTTGTCCAATTCCGAGAACTTTTATTTCTGCACAAAAACAACACCATGGTAGTTCTGCTGAAAACAACGTCAGTCCGGGTTAGTTTCATTCAAATCATGCAAATTAGAGTCCAACACAAGAGCAAAAGCGTTAGGAAAAGTAAATACGATGGAGACGTATCACTCGCCTCGTTGCCGCCCCTTGTCGTCCGTCCTCGCCGGGCATCATAGTCACCGGTCCCAGGCTCCCAGCCCTCGCCGGTCATCCTCGTCACCGACTTAGCCCCATGCACCAACCGCACCCTGCGGTTGCAGCTCCTGTGGCGACCATTGTAGCTCCGGTGGCAACGACCGAAGCTCACCGGCGTGCTCGCCACCGATCATCCCCAATGTCGCAGCTTGCTTGGGCGCACCTGACGCTTACAACAAAATTCGAGCATCGGGGGGAGATGCCCAGTGCTGCAATCGACGACCAAAAAACTACAACCAATGACAAAAAACACTTGAACCGGCTACGAAAAAAGTTCCAACTCATATATGACGGAAGCTATGGACGACCAAGAAAAGTTACATCCGGCGATGAAAAAAGTTTCATCTGGCGATGAGAAAAGTTTCAACCGTAAAGACGAAAGCCATGGATGACAAACGAAAAGCTACAGCCGGTGATTACAAAAGCTACAACCAGCATTGAAAAAGCTTCAAGACTTTTTGTCTTAGCTACGACCCGCGATGATGATGATGTTGTTTTCCTGCAAGCCTGCAACCATAGTCGGCTTTGCTACAACTAGCAATGGAATTTTCTACAACCATTTTCACAGTTGTTGTTGCTGCTCAGTCGAGCTCCCGCACTCGCCCATGGCCATCGTCGTCGCGGCGCTGTTCTGGGAGGCGCCTGATGACGTATTGGACGAGATCATGCTCCGCTTGTCGTGCCCCTCATCACTCGTGTGCGATGCCCCGGCTTGCGCCTCCTTCCATCCTCATCTCTTCCCTGCGCTTCCTCGGCCGCCACCACGCGCCCCACCCGAACGTGGTTGCGCCTTTCCTCGGGGTCTTCTACTCCGTCCGGTGCGCGCGGAGAAGAAGTTACAGCCTAGCGTGAGTGAGAGGTAGGTGAAGGGAGAAGGAGGACGATCGCTGGGATGGCCCCTCGTACCTTACTTGTCGCGATCTGAATGGTTAGGAGGCTGCTCGCATGGACACGACCGGCCGAAGCTAGTTAGTGATACTAGGAGAATGCACGTGTGTTGCTATGGGCTATCCGCAATGTTATCTGTAACACTCGGGTTCAACACAAAGAACCTCATCCAACGACGCACCTTCCCTTTTTCTGTCGGAACCTCCCATTCCCGATTGGCTTCCTGCCGTAGCGGGACATTTCTCGCTGGAGCCACCTCCTTTAGAACCGGATGACACCGACCTCATCTTCGCCGTGCATTGCAATAATGATGAAAAATTTCATGTTCATAATATAATAGAGTCGGTTAAACTAACAACATACTATTGACACAAAGCAACAAATAACTACAGATAGCATTCTCAAACGTCCATTCAACTTTGCAAATGAACATTGACATTGAAGGAGAGTGGCAACATGAACTTATTCCTAGTCGCCAATAAGCTCCACCTCTATCCCACATATGCTAGAAGGGATAATTGTTGTTCTTCTCTTCCTCGTCTTTCCCTACACCTTCTATTCCTCGCGTCTTCACTAACCCGTTTCATTGGAACCAACCAGCACCACATCAACATTAGTGTGTTCTTCATCAACGCCTCATCTTCTTCTTTCTCATTTCTCGACAGCTTTAGTTCTCATTCCTACTTAACTTCAAGAATACTCTTTCTCTTCTCTCTCTCTTATTATTTGGAACACTCTTTTCTTTCTCCGACACCATGGACCGTTTGGTGGCTTTAGTTCTTTTTTCTTCTTGTTCTTCGAACACTCTTTCTTCTTATTATCGCATGAAACACCTGGCCAATGTTGTGTTGTGTTGTCCTCACCAGCGAATATTTCGGCAACCGTCAGCGTGTGGACATCATGCGGAGCATAGTCTTCATCCATCTAGGTGAACGTTAGGTCGCCCATGTCGCAAGCGCATGGTGGCCGTTGTCCATATTGGCATGCGGTGCTCGATACTTGGTCATGCAGCTGAGAGCCCGTTGATCGTCCTTGCCCACGAGCGCTTTCAGAATGATTCGACGTGATTAACTGCTTGATTAATTGATTAAGTACACAAATAACTAACAACCTACCTAATTATATGCATGCCTAATTAACTGTCAACCAAATCAATTAATTATCTGACTAATTGGAAAATATCCCTACTTCTAATTATCTGTAGGCATAAATAATTGTCTAACAAAATAATTAATTGTATTAATCACTCAACTTCCAAATTGATTGGGTGCAAAAAAATCCTATTTAAATGGACCTAATTAATTGCATACGTAATTAACTGCCGAGCTAATTAATTTTTTTTAGAAAAGGGGACATCCCCAGCCTCTGCATCAGAAAGATACATACGGACACATTTATTAGCAAGTACAAAGGTTCAACAATAGTCTTAAAGACTCAAGCAAAAGCTGCTCACAAAGAGCTAAGTAACCAAAATAAAAGCCACAACTGGCTAGCAAAAGAGAGATAGGAAAACTAATTGTCTATCCTATTACATGACTGGCATCCAAATCGGCTGAAAATATCCCGTGCTACCATCTCCCAGCGGATAGATCCAGTGAACAAATGCTCTCTGGCCTCCGTCGGAGTGAGTAACGACCACATACGGATCCACGCAGTGGCTCGGAAGATAACCTGCAAAAAGTGAGTATTTGTTGTTCTGTTAAAGACCAAATCATTTCTGCAATTCCAGATAGCCCATAATAAAGCACATACTCCTACACGAATGTGTCTTGATGTTTGGGACTCAATCCCATCCAACCATGTCCCAAATAACATGCTAATATTATTTGGTGGAGTAATATTGAAGGCTATGTTGACTGATTGCCAAAGGACAATCAAGAAAGAGGTGTTTGACTGTTTCATCCGTATCACAAAAACTACATCGAGAGGATCCACTCCAGTTACGTTTAATCAAGCTATCCTTAGTTAAAATGACTTGTTTGTGTACAAACCACATAAACACTTTAACTCTCAATGAAACTTTGACATGCCAAACATGTTTCGAGGTAGGAATATAGCTTGAATTAATGACATCCAAATACATGGATTTAACCGTAAATTCTCCATTCCTAGTAAGCTTCCAACACAACTAATCTGGACGTGGAGAGAGTTGAACATCCATCAATCTTCTCACAAGATGGAGCCAAGCTTCCCAACGGTTACCGGCAAACGCTCTCCTGAAGCTGATATTTAGAGGCGTGGACTCGCATACTGACTCAACGGTTGCAGCTAATTAATTGCATCAATGGTTTGATTTCAAATTTATTTAGTGCTCGATTTCTAAAATAATTTCACATGAATGGCTGCTACAAACGCCAATGATGACGACTACCGAGTAATGTAGGACACATTCCCTTAACGAATTTCTTGACATTTAAATGGACACACTTGATTTGCTAATGTAGCTTGTCTGGCTCTACAAAAAATATAATATGACCGAGTCCACGTGGCGGTCTGATGACCCGCCTCCCCCCACGACCGTCCTCGACACCATGATCCATGCCCTGGCATTCTCAACCACCGTGCCAGCGTTAGGCCCGACCACGACATCTTCCATGGTGTCGTGCACGATGTCCCTTCGCAGGGGCACGCAAATGTGTGCGCCTATATGAAACTTGTGGTTCTCAATTAATAGTAGAGATAATGATAATAATGAATGACATAGCGCGCGGGATTAGTGATTTCTTATGAAGAAATATCTCATTTTATTATGGAAGGTTATCGAAAAAATCTTATGCCCATCTTTTAGGAAGGTGATCTCACATATATGGTGCAATTTCTGAATTCTTAATTACTTATTGTTTACGTAATTGAATTGAATCAGCACCTACCAAAGGAAGCATGAAACAAGATCCCCCTAATGGGATTTGGTTTTTTAATGGGGGGGAACCAGTGGGAGGAGGTGGTGGGAGGTGGGACGAAGAAAAATCAGACGAAAATAAACCGTACCAGGCTACCAACTGCTCCATTAGGAGTGGAGACTATTAATATATGGCCCACCTCTTTTTCTCACAAAAATTGTTGGGGGTCATGCACCAGTCGACTGCAAGCTTATAGCCCGTTTCTCCTCTTACCTCCAACTAATCACAAATATGTGGCATCTCTTATAGTCATCACTTTATTGTACATTAATAATGTAATCTTCCAATCAACTTATCATTTAATTGTTTTTAGGGGTATTAGTACCATTTAATAGTACTAGTAGTATAACTTCCCATTATTCTAGGGATCTTCTCATGGGCCCGTGAGCAACCAGGTCCCGACATTTGGCCCACCCGGAAGCACACCCCTGCGGATCGAACCCTACAAAACCAACATCCGCCGCCGATCTCTCGCCACTCACTTTACTCACTCCACTCCAACCACCCGCAAAACCCTAGCTTCCCGCCGGTGCTGGCGATGGCCAGCCGGTTCTCCAACGTCGACCCGGTGACGGCGGCCGACATGCGGCGCCAAGGCCTCGACCCGCACGAGCTGGACCGGAGCACAGAGCAGCTCATGTCGCTCATCCACGCCAACATCCCGGACCCGCCCAGATAGAAGAGATATTTGCCGTGATAATCCTCACTGTATTGGGCTGTTTATATAGTACATGTACATGTTCAGTTACAAGTCATTAGAACGTGGAATACCAAGAGAGAGGTCTCTAGACCTTCTACATTCTAGCACTAAGCTGTAATTGCTAGGCGTTGCAACTCATTATGCTAGACAGCACTAACTCGTAACATTTGACACCCCCCCCCCCCCTCAATC